AGGCCAGAGCGTCCAACGTGAGCCTTTGGATCAAACCGACTTAAAGGACGGCGTAGATGCAACTTAGGAGGCATTGGAGAACCGACATAACAACGGGGGCTGATAGGTGGGCCCTAGGGGCCGACCAGCCTGTAGGTGGGCCTCACCTGGTGCGTCTCGCCCTTTGCTTAGGTGTGGAGTCTTCTGGAACCTTCTTGTGTCCATTTCACTGCGGATAAGCACAATTAAATCTGACATCTTGATCCACCTTGACGGTTTTCTCGATAAACCCTGCAGAAAATACAGATTCACCAAAACTTATGAAATTTGTTAGTTTAAACCCCGAGACCTTTGTTGGTGATTATTTTTATACCCTTATGCATGTTATATTGATGGTTTATAATGGTTGTTAACTACAGTCAACACCTCCCTTTTCTGTTAGAGGCGGTTAAACTAGCACGCTGCCTCTAACATCGTCGGGGAGCACTGTAGCTCCGTGACCGTCGCTGAAAATCGATTTTCAGGGGTGGTTCTATTAAGAAATCTGCCTCTAAAAAATGTATCCATTTTTATGGATAGTTTCGTTAAGAGAACCGCCTCTGAAACTGCTGATTTTCAGAGCCAGTTGACTAAGTCAATCATCCTTAAAAATAGCTACAGCACAAATAAATTCATATCTTTTTTAAATGAAGTTGGATGAAGATAAAATTTATATCAAAATTATAGAGCTCGACGAGATTTAAAACTTTGTAGTTGATAAAATTTTTGTTTGAGATCATTTAGGGTTCCAAATATATAAATTAAGTCTCAGATTTTTCATTTAAATTTTTTGACTTACTCAAATGATGTTGGATGGAGAAATGTCCTATATGAAAGTTGTAGTGCTCGAAGAGATCTAAAACTTTGTAGTTGAAACTTTTCCCATTTAAATTCGTTTAATAGTCAAAATATTGATTATAACATCCATACGTATTAGTACAATTGGATAGCATTGTACATCTCAACATAAGTGACCGTGTGGTGTAGTGATAGGGGATGGAGCGCGTGGAGCGAGAGGATGCGAGTTCGAATCCTAACTGCCGCACTATATCGGATGGTGGCAAAAATTAAATTCTACGAGTGGTTGGTTGGCCCTCTAGGCCTCTAGCCACACTAAATATTTTTTTCTTATTTTTATTAGACTCTAAATGATTTTTAAAAAAATCTAAAAAATATTTTTAGGGATGGTTGACTTAAGTCAACCGCCTCTGAAAATCACTTATTTTACAATCGGTGGCATTGTAACGGTTTTTTAAACCACCTCTGAAAACTATTTTTAACCGCCTCTAAAAATCTTTTCTGTACTAATGGGACGAGCCTTCATTCGTCAACCTTAGTTACAATAATTATGTATTTCTTTGCATACACATGCTTACTAAATATAAATTCAACTCATACTACTACAAAATTGATTTTTAGGAGACAGACTATTTCATTAATGGAGGTAGTCACAAAATGTAACTGTCTCTTAAAATACTTGAGGGTTTTCGGAGGCGGTTATTTCATTTGTGGAACCGACCAAAAAGATACCCGTCTCTCGAAATCATTTTATGAAGACGGGCCTCTTAAAAGGTACGCCTATGAAAATAGAGGATATTTTCAGAGGCGGATCTCTAAAGAGGCCTGTCTCAGGAAACATGCCTGGGTCCAAGATGCCTGTTACCTATGTTTATGTATATGTAGTGAGTTAGGGTTTGGAGCTCCTCGTTCTATCTTACACACCCGGCTCTCTCTCATCTCTCGGCGGCGGCATGATGCCCCCTCCCAGCGGCGACGCACGAAGCTTGTCTAGGCGGCAACGCACATGCATGGCATTGTTGGGCGCACAGGGCTCGATCACCTATGGTGCATAGGGTGGTGGTAGGGTGCGTGAGCCAAGCCTGTGTGGCAGCGCATGCATAGGGCCATGTGGGGCTCCTCTGGGGTGGCACACTCAAGGATCTAGCGGCGGCCGGGCTCGCTGCAGCAGGGCATCGCAGCGGTATCTCAATCACCCTCTCTGTCTTCTCTCAGGCAGTCAGATCGATGGTGGTTGTTGACGGTCACTAACATCAACATAACCTATATTTATACTTAATTCCATCACCAAACATAGGTATAGGGGTTTAAACTAATAAATTCCATGAGTTTTGGTGAATCTGTGTTTTCAGCAGGGTTTATTTATAAAACCGTCAAGGGGACCTATTCGTCAAAGGAAATTATGAAATTCCGCCGCAAAATCGACATGGGAAGACTCTAGAAGACTCCATAAGGCGAATCACTGAAGCGGAGCCTGTGTCTTTGACATGTGGGGCCGGTCGGCCCCACATTGAGGCCGCCGACCTGTGGGCCCCCAATGTCAGCCTCCCGTTGTTACGTCGGTTCTCCACCGCCTCCTAGGTTGCATCTACGCCGTCCTTTAAGTCAGTTTGATCCAAGGGCTCACGTTGGATGCTCCGGCCTATATATATCAGCCCCTGCCACCCTCCCTGGAGCCATCCTAAACCCTAATTTATATTCTCCTCGTCAGGATCAGAACCAGCCATCAAGAGAAGATTAGTCCTCTATAGGATTAAGTCTTATAATTAGAAATAGTGAGATAGAGAGTGAGGGAAGAGTTTGGAGTAGATGCCGGCCCGTCGGTGCTCTCTCTACAGCTTGTACCTTGGTGGATTCAAGTTCTATCTAAGCCTGCGTCTGATATTTCTCTGGTAATCAACTTCTGATTCAAGTAAGTATATTGTTTATATTGTTCTGTAGGTTCACGACTCTCTTTTAAGTGCTTTATTCTCTTCCTAGGGAGAGTAGAGTATTACTCGTAAGTGTAAGTGTGGTGCTTCGACTTAGGTTAATCGTGGATGCACCCTGTATTCCGGAAGGTGGTAGATCACGTGAGTGACATAAGTTCTATATAGCCTATACTATACAGCTTCGTTGATCCTTTGTAGTCCACCTCCCGTCTGTAGGCGTATGTAGGACACGGTTACGAAGGAAAGCATCCTCTGTTGGTGTGTTTCCCAAGTAATGTCCCATGTTGAATAGTAGAAGACATAAGCTTACTCAAGTCAGAACAAGAAAACCCTAGTTATCCTCTATGCTCCTATTTATCCTAACATTGTTGTTACCCCTAGTTAAGTTATACCGTATTTAGTCTCACACGTTTCCCTGTGGATACGATACTTGGAATACCTCTGGATAAAAGCTACAATGGTATCCGTGCGCTTGCGGATTTATCTGTGTGTGTTAAATATACCAACAGTGGTGGCCACGATGGGCTCGATGACGGTGATCCATATATGAGCAGTGGCAACGGCGCACGGACAGTCTGGCGAGGAGCGGTGGCGTGTGGGCAGACCAGTTGAGGAGCGTGTGGTGGCGCATCGACGGATCTGGCGAGGAACGGCGGTGTGCGGGCAGATCCAGCGAGCGGCGACGCGTCGATGACCTCAGCTGGCCTCTGTGGATGGGCTCAGCAGGCCCGTCAATGGGCTCGTTAGTTTTTCTTTGTTTTTTATTTAATTTGTTAACGAATGCGGGCATTGTCCGCGGTGTAAATCATGATTTACGCGACATTTTATCCGAGGGGGATGGTTTGCTCGTGTGATAACGGTTTTTGACGGTCTGCAATAATACCTACAGTAATAGTGTCAAGAATTCAATTGATGTGGCCAAACTTCTGAAGTGGCCCATATGGACCATCTTACATTTACTTTGGGACCCTAAGCTAACACATTTGACTCACGGTCACGGACACAGCACGCACGCCGTTGACGCCTGCACGCCTAGCCCCACCAAGAAACGCTCCGCCGTCGGCCGCCAATCGCCCTGCAGGAATCGCGTCGCCGTCGCCGCCTGCTGGCCTAGCGCTCCGCCCGTGATGCACCTGAGATGGTCACCCATGCATCCGCTCAAACTAGCGGCCTCCCGCGAGTTCTCTTCTCTTCTCTTCTCCGTTCTCGATGTAGTCTTTTTCTTTGATTTGTTTCTTGCTTTTCTGATCTGTTCATCCACACCGACCTGGACCCTGATCCAGAACGATTGATCCCAGGACGCGGATCTCTGCTACGCACTGCGCTCGAGGCACCACCGCACCAGGGCCACACTTTCCCCCGTCCTCTCTCTTGGCTTCTCTATCTGCTTTTATCTCTATTTTTACTATGATTTCAGGTTTCTGACCCAGATCCAAACACCCGCTCACCCAGCGCAGCGGCTGACTATTGTTACTGTAACAAAAGGGAATTTTTACTTCCCCCTGGACTGATTAAATAAATTGAATAAATAACAGCCACTTGCAACCAAAAGCATACTGCAAGAAAATTGCATGAATGGATAGAATAAACTAACAAAAAATTGCGAAGCAAAGAAAGTATTTATCTTCCAGCATCTTATCTCTGACCAATTAAACTGAAGTTGTTTACCTATCAAAATCAACGCTCTCTGTGTCATTACCACGAAGCTTCGTGAATGCCGCCTCTTGTCTGTAAGGAAATATTATTTGACAAAAGAAAGATCAGTCCATAGTTCCATACTCTTCGATTTGTTAATTATCTTGCCGACGAAAATGGGTCATTAGCTTGCAAACAAGTCGTGGCGTCATAAGATTTGTGGGAAAGCATATGTTCTGATAGGTGGTCATGGCAGTGTGCAGTGTTTGCAGTGGTTAGCTCTTTCTAAACTACTCCGATTAACAACAATATTGGTTTGTCTGGATCTAAATAAAACAAAGCAAGTTGTACGACTCGAACAAATTGCTCAAGAAAAGAAACAGGTCATGCTTGTACTATGGCCCTGTTCGTTTATCTTCTAATCCGTCTTTTTGAGCTTGTTTTCTCAGTCAGAATAGTATTTTTCTCTCACAGCAAATCAGCCGAAATATTATTTCGGCTTGTTTTTTCAGCGAAGCGAATGAGCCCTATATACATGAACTGGTATCAACACCCTCTTCTCAGTTCCTCCCACAGCACCACCGCATCCAGCGAGCTCTGCTCACCAGATGGTCAAAAATGGCCACGGCAGCTGTCGTGGGTGTTACCACCGGGGTGATGAAGCCCCTCCTGTCCAAGCTCACCAAGCTGCTGGAAGAAGTGTACGTCAAGCTCAAAGGCGTGCGCAAGCAGATCAAGTTTCTGAGAGATGAGCTGAGCGCCATGAGTGCAACGCTCGAGATGCTCGCAGATGCAGAGGAGCTCAACCCTCAAACGAGAAAATGGAGGGACAAGTTACGTGAGCTGGCCTATGACTTGGAAGATTGCATTGATGCCTTCATGGTTCGTGTTGACCATGAGCATGATGGACATTCGGGCTTCATCAAGAGGTTCTTCCGCAAGTTGAAGAAACTGAAACCACGTCATGAGATCGCCAATCAGATCCAAGAACTCAAGGCATCTATTATAGAGGCAAGCAAGAGGCACAAGAGGTACCAGTTAGTCGATATCTCTTCCAACTCTAGAAGTACTTGTTCTCTTGATCCTCGGTTATCCGCGCTGTATGTGGAGATAGATAAGCTTGTCGGCATTGACGGTCCTAAGAAGTATATCATTGAGTGGTTAACCAAGGAAACCAAGAAGGCGGATTCATCAGAACTTAAAGTGCTCTCTATTGTTGGTTGTGGAGGTCTTGGTAAGACTACTCTTGCAAACCAAGTCTATAAAGATGTTAAAAGCCAATTTTCATGTGCAGCTTTCGTCTCGGTCTCTCGAACTCCTGATGTCAGAAAAGTATTAAGAGGCATTGCAAAAGGAGTTGGTATTACCATTACCAGTAATATGCTGGATGATGATGAGAAGGAACTCATTGATAAACTCAGGGAACACCTTCAGGATAAAAGGTAAGCCAGCAGATTATCTATGATAATGTTTGCATGTGTGCTGTAACGTAACGACAGTAAAATTGTAGGGTTGAAATTGGTAGAATATTTAGCACCTATGAAATGAATTTGCAAGTGCTACTCCCTAATTATAGGAAAACTAAAAAGAAACATGTACTGGTATGTTAATTATTATTAGTAAAACTTGCATGGCTCCCTAACATATTTCCTCCTCTGCTAGTTCAACAAAGTAACCCCACTAAAGTTTACATCTGGATTTAATTACAACTATTTGCATCTATAAAGAAACCACAGAATTTGAGAATAGTTTCAGAGAATTTAACTATATATTTTGCTCCAATAATTACACAAAACTACAAAAACATTACAAAACTACAGTCACTTTTCTTTGGTTTCCACAATATAAAGCTAGTTTTGCATTATGTGAGCACAATTAGTTAAGTTCTTTCAAACTATTCCAAAAACATTATTTCTTCTACAGTTAGTTAGAAATAACTTTCATTTTACGGAATTCACTCTTATACAACATTCATTAGATATTTGTTGTTTAGACATTGAAACAAATTGTATGACATTGAAACAAATTGTATCTCCATTTTTAATTGCCATGTTTCCGATCCGTTTCAGAAGGGCTTGATTTTTGTTTGCATGTCCATTAAGGCATTCATTGAAATGTTAGTGTACTTACTAAAATCTTTCTACCTTCTACATGTACTTCAATATATATTAGCAGATAGAACTCAAGCAAGGATTTGTGATTATTTATTATTCTTTTTTCTCATTCTTATAACTCCTTTGTCTATGCATACGGCACTAATATGCTAAATGGATGAAGTAATACCTAGCTAGTGTGGCTAGCATAAGTGCGCCCAAATGTAGCTATTATTTTAGGGTTATGATATGACAAAGTTCAATAATGTTGTACAGGGCTATAGGACTTGGAGAGCTGTTCCCTTTATGTAGGAGTAATATTTACTGCTAGGATCTAACACCTTTTTGCTAGGAAGAATATAATAAAAAATTAAGTTACATCTACTTCTCCGTCGGTTTCTTTTTAGTGCACATAATAAGATAATAAAAGGTTAAAGTTCATAAAATTCGACCAATAATTGGTAAATTGCAAATCACATGCATGCTTAGTGCATTGAAATTTGAAATTTAGATGAATAAGCAAAAATCTCGAATATTTAACATGGCATTTATTTTGTAGTAATTGATGATATAATAAGATATTTATTTTGTACCCAATAGATAAAATATTGTAAGAGAAATATGTGGACGAAGTATACATTTAAAGACATTTTGAAATCCTAATACACCTAATGATCACAACCAGAATCTGCATTCAACATTTAGTGTAAACTTTCCCTTTCAAATGCCTCCCAGTGAGGATTATCATGTGCTATGACTAATGGTAGTGTTTTATTACTACTTAAAAATATTAGGAGAACTCCACCATTTTCGTAGTGGATTGGAGTTATTAGGATGTAAATCTTTAATACCTTAGTGGATTAGAGTTATTAGGATGTAAATCATTATTACCTCTGCAAAAGTATCGCTACTCATAATACCATTCACATAAACCTGTGTGTATTTTTGCCACACTTCAACAACATGTCATTGGCACACACAATATAGCCTTACAGGCTTCAGCACTAACTGCATCATTGTTAAAATTATTTGCAGGTACCTCATTGTAATTGATGATGTATGGGATGCAAAACCATGGGAGACCATCAAGCTTGCATTAATGAATAACAATTGTGGTAGCAGAGTAATCACTACAACACGTAGCAATGACGTTGCATCATACTTGTCTTCCCAAGGCGGTAATGTTTATCAAATGAAATCTCTCAGGTTTGAGGACTCCAAGAGGTTGCTTTTTAAAAGAGCATTTGGTTCTGAAAACTTATGCTATACTCATTTGGGTACTGCTCCGGATGAGATATTAAGAAAATGTGATGGTTTACCATTAGCAATCATCACTATATCTAGCATGTTAGCTGATCAGCACGCAAAAGGTGAATGGGACAGTGTACTAAATGATATTGGTTCTTCTCTTGCTAAGAATCCTGGTGCTGAGAATATGACGGCCATATTATCTATGAGTTACTTTGATATTCCTCACCATCTAAGAACTTGTTTGTTGTACTTGAGTGTGTACCCAGAAGATTATAAGATTGAGAAACAATGTTTGATCAATAGGTGGATTGCAGAAGGGTTCATTCAGAAGGAAAAAGGTCAAAATGAATATGAAATTGGTGAGCGTTACTTCAATGATCTGATCAACAGAAGCATGATCCAACCTGTTAGAGTAAAGTATGGTCAGGTGAAGGCATGTCAAGTGCATGACATCATCCTTGACTACATCAAATGCAAGGCCGCTGAAGAGAATTTTGTAACTTCATTACATGCTGCAGAGCCTGTATATACATCAGAATACAAGGTTCGTAGGCTTTGTGTGAGCAACGACAATGAAGAAAATGTTACTTTATGGGCAGACCAGATCTTGTCTCATGTTCGGTCAGTTACTATATTTGGAGAGCCTGTGAAAATCTCTTTGTTGCCTTCCACTCCTCTTCGTGTGTTGGACCTAAGAGAACACTATGGCATGCAAAACTATCATCTTGCAAGTATTGGGAAGTTGTTTAATCTTAAGTACTTGCGTCTCTGCTCATGTTTCATAACTGGGCTCCCTGAGACTGTTGGTGAACTACATCATCTACAGACATTGGATGTGCAAGGCACTCGTATTAAAGAACTACCACGAACTATCACGGAACTTCAACAACTGACTCGTTTATATGTTGATTGGTATACTAGATTTCCAGAGGGAACAATAGGAAAGATGCACAGCTTGGAAGAGCTGAGCTGGTATGGAGTCCAATCCTACGGGCAAGCGAAGTCCATACAAGAATTCAGCAAACTCACCAAGCTGAGGACACTAAAAATTAGATGCGATGTTTATACACCAAATTTTTGGGACTCAGAAGGAAGAAGCCAAGCCGAGCGCGTTCACAGTTATGTTGGAAATTTATTATCTTCATGCAACCTGCATCATCTTATATATAGGGTGCCAAATTGGATGGGATCCTTGGAGAGGGGGTACATCCTGATGAAGTACCCGCTGCCGCTACATTCATGGCATCCTGCAGCTTCCTGTAGCATCCGCAAGCTCTGCATTAAAACAATTCCCATCTATAGGGTGCCAAATTGGATGGGCTCACTTGGAAATCTCGGTGTGCTAGAACTGGAGGTCATGTGTGTGCGACCAGAAGATGTTGAGATCCTTGGAGAAATACCCAGTTTGCTTTTTCTCAACCTAGACACTTGGGGGGGCACTAGCGGAAGGATCGTCTTCCCTGGCAACAGCGGATTCAGAAGTCTGAAACAATTCTCCCTGTGTATCAAGTTTTGTGGGACCTCCCTGGAGTTTGAAGCGGGATCAATGCCAAAGCTTGAGCACGTGAAGCTTGAGTTCAATGCGCATGAGATGGAGTGCCTGAACGGTGCTTCTAGTTTGGGCATCCAGCACCTCTCGTCTCTCAACAGGGCTGAGATAGAAATTGGTAGCGACTGGCATGAGTATGACGTGGACTACAACCCAGTGGAAGATGATCATGATGACACTGCCCGATGTATTTCAAGAGCCATTAATGCTGCCATCGAGACACTTCCCAACCGTCCCACTGCCAGCTTCAAAATACGAGAAGTTGACTGCAAACATTTCGAATCTGTATGTTCCCTCACATAACAACATACATTGATGGTTCCATCAACCTCTCAGTTGCTGCAACCACATACTCCTCTCTTCCATTTAGCAACTACTCTGTTGATCCCTGGTTGTCCTGCACAGATAAGCAACTAGCTTACCAGCACACATATTCACTATGGCTAGAGGTAGAAGAAGAGATTGAGTACAGCGCCCACACACACTCAGCACAAAGCACCAGCGTTAGCCAAAGCCCTGCCCTTTGGTTTGTGGCAACTGAACTAAGTATTCCATTGCCTTTTGGATGGAATATATACAACTCTAGCTGTACCTCTACCAGGTAAATAGTTGTTGGCCAACTACCTACTACTGAGTACAAGAGTACACCAACTACCTACTCCTAAGTTACAGGGTACATCAACTATCTACTCCTAAGGTACAGAGTATACCCACTACTCCTAGTAGTACAAAGCTTACCTCAGCCCACTACCAAGACATGGTTGATGTAATAGCTACCAACTAATGTACTAGAGGTAGCCTATTGCAATACTGTTATAGCTACAGGAACTGGTCGGCAGAGCCGATCAGTCCCCAACTCCCAACAGGGAGTGGTCGGTCGAGCCGACCAGTCTCCAACCAAGGAGAGAATGGGGAGCAGTATATTATGTCTAACAATTCTTTCCATAATCCTGCTGCTAGTCCGATACCTTGATCTTATCCATGCCAATCATCTTTCTCAGCTTCATGAACCGCAGGCGTCCGAGTGACTTGGTGAGGATGTCAGCAAGCTGTCTGTCGGTCTCGACAAACTTGATGACGATCTGCCCTCCATCAATTCAGTCCCAGAGGAAGTGGAACTTGATGTCGATGTGCTTGCTCCGGTCGTGGAGGACAGGGTTCTTGGCAAGAGCGATGGCGGGCTGGTTGTCCACCATCAGAGCTGGCGGGTGAGCTTCCTCGCCGGTCAGCTCACCCAGCAGCCGGCGTAGTCAGACAGCCTAGCACGCCGCCGTGGCCGCTGCGACATACTCTGCCTCACACGTCGATAGCGCCATGATTTTTTGCTTCAGCGATTGCCAAGCAATGGGGGCCGCTACAAAGAAGACGAGCACGTCAGAGGTGCTCCGTCGCCCATCAATGTCGCCCGCCATGTCCGCATCGCTGAAAACAGTGAGCTCCGGCTCACCTTCCTTTGCCTTGGGGGTGCCTCACTGAACACCATGAGCCGCAACCCTCCCTTGCCGCTACTCTTGGGGAAGATGATTACTTGATCGAGCGTCCCCTTGACGTAGCGCAGTAACCTTTTCACTGCCGACCAGTGATCTTCGCGCGGGTCCTCCATGAAACGGCTGACGTACCCAACTGCGAACGCAATGTCCAGTCGGGTATGGGTGAGGTAGCGCAGCCCGCCGACGATACTCCGGTAGCGCATCACGTCCACCTTTGCAGCAGTGCTGTGCTTGCTCAGCTTCAGCCGCTCCTCCATCGGAGTCACGCACGGCTTGCACTCCACCATGCCGCCGCGCTCTAGCAGCTTCTCCGCATAGGCGCGCTGACTCAGGGAGATGCTCTGCTTCCCCTGCCTCACCTCGGTGCCGAGGTAGTAGGAGAGCACGCCGAGATCGTTCATCTTGAAACAAGTCGCCATCTCATGCTTGAAACTGCCGATGTCCTCTGCTCGTGTTCCGATGACGATTAAGTCATCCACGTAGACGCCGACGATGAGCTCCTCCTTCCCCCGTCGCCGCGTGTTGAGCGCATGCTCTGTAGCGTAGCGAGTGAACCCAAGCTCGCCCAAGGTGGCGTCGAGCTTGGCGTTCCACGCCCGAGGTGTCTGCCGCAGCTCGTAGAGCGTCTTGCGCAGCTTGAGCACCATGTGCTCAGCGCCCTTGATGGCGAAGTCTGGAGCTTGCTTGACCAAGACCGTCTCTGCGAGCTCGCCGTTGAGGAACGCAAACTTGACGTCGAGGTGGTGGACACGCCAATCCTTCGCTACTGCCATGGCCAACAGCAGGCGAATAGACTCCATTCGTGCCACCAGAGCAAAAACTTCCTCAAAGTCGATGCCCTCACGCTGCACGAAGCCACGCGCGAAGAGCCGAGCATTGCACGTGACAATGGCGCCGCGCTCGTCCCGCTTCACCTTGTAGACCCACTTCAAGCCGATCGGCCTACAGCCCACCGGTGGATCTACCAGCTCCCGTGTGCCATTGTCCTCGATGGCCTTCATCTCTTCCAACATCGTCCGTCGCCAATTGACATCGCGTTCAGCCACTGCGAACGTCGGTGGCTCCTCGGCACTAATAAGGAGCAGCTCTGGATCGTTGAGCAGCCGACTCGCCAGGCCTGTGGCCCCTGCATTGCCAATGATGTTGTCCAGCCTATGAAACCAGACCTCCTCGCCGTCGTGGAAGGCATCCACGAACTCGCTGATGTCGCTCGGAGGGGAGGTGAACTCGATCGATGGTCCCCGGCTTTCCTGTTCTGCCAGAGTGGTCGACATCACTGCTGGACCGCTCGGCACCACTGCCGGAGTGGTCGGCATCGCTGCTGGACCGCTCAGCACAATTACCGAAGTGGTCGGATCCACTGCTGGAGCGGTCGGCACCACTCCTGGAGTGGTCGACTCTACTGCTGTAGCGCTCTACACTGCTGCTGAAGTGCTCGGCAACCCCTCTACAGTGCTCGGTACTCCTCTCGGAGTGCTCGGCTCTATTGCTGTTGTGGTCGGCACCTCCTCTCCAGTGTCTCCACCACCATGGATGACCATGCGCTCGACGACGAAGGTGCTGGTGAAGCCGCCAGCTTCCCCCATGCCCGGACTGTCCCAATCCCAGACCGCCTTCTCATCGAACACCACATCCCTAGAGATCACCACCTTGCCTCTCTTGGGATCATAAATCTGATAGGCCTTGCTGCCCTCCTCGTAGCCTAGGAGCACCATCGGCGTGCTCCTGTCTTCCAGCTTGCCGAGGTGAGACTTGGTGTTCTTCACATGGCCGACGTAGCCAAATGTCATGAGGAAGGACACATTTGGCTTGCGTCCATGCCAAGCCTCGAACGACGTCTTTCCCTTCAAGGCCTTGGTGGGAGCGCGATTGAGGATAAACATCATCGTGGTCACCGCCTCTCCCCAGAACTCCGATGACATCTTCTTAGCTTTCATCATGGATCGGGCCTGTCAACCACCATCTGGTTCTGCCACTCCACCACGCCATTCTGTTGTGGCGAGTACGGCGTGGTGTGGTGTCGCACCATGCCCTGATCCGCACAGTATGCAGCAAATTCCACCGAAGTGAATTCGCCACCGCGATCAGTCCGCAGCACGCACAGCTTCTTGCCGCTCTCCGCCTCTGCCGCCTCGGTCTTGCTGGTCAGAAGCTACAACCACATGTACCGGCTGCAGTCATCTACCAGCAAGATGAAGTACTTGCGCCTGCCGAGCGTCGCCGGCATGATCAGCCCGTAGAGGTCACCATGGACTAGCTCGAGGGTCTCTGCCGTGCGGTACTTCGCCATCTTCAGGAACGACAGCCTTCTTTGCTTTCTGGCCAGGTAGCTGTCACACAGTTCGCCTGCGTGCTCAATGTGAGGCAGCCCAGTCACCATCTTCTCCAGCCGACCAAGAGCGTCGAAGCTGAGATGTCCATACCGGGCATGCCACAGCCACGGCTCCTCCGTGCGCCATGCAGCCAAGTAGATGGACTGCTCCACCTTGAGGTCGAGCGGGTACAGCCGATTTTGGAACCTCTTCACCTTGGCAAGAAGCCGCTGCTCCCGGTCCCAGATCTTAAGGACGCCGTCCTTGATCAGTACCTCGCTGCCGCGCTCATCCAGCTGGCCAATGCTGATGATGCTTGAACGCAGCTGCAGGATATAATATACATCCGTTAGTGCGCGGTGCTCGCCGTTCTGGCACCTGAAGATGATGGTGTCGCGCCCTCGGATCACCACCCTTGAGCCGTCACCAAACTTCACCGTGCCGGTCATGTCGTTGTCGAGCTCAGAGAAGGCTGCCTTGGAGCCCGTCATGTGATTGCTAGCCCCGGAGTCCAGGTACCACCGCTGCTCCTGCTCGCCGCCCACACATCCGAGATGGACTTGGACGTGCGGTTCGTCGAGGTTGACAGCCTTCAGAGCCTTCCCAGGCCCTTCCATCGCCAACCCGTCTCCCTTCTCCTTGACCTCAACGTCGTGCAGTGCATAGAACATCGCCATCAGGACAGTGGCCTCATCATTATCATCAGCCTGCGCTGGATGAGCCTCAGCCTTGTTTTCCTGCTTGCGATTTGGACACTCCTTTGCCCAATGGCCCATCTTTCTGCAGCGCCGACAGGCGTTGGGGTCGACCTTCTTCTTCTTCTTCTCCGAAGAAGCCTTGCCGCGGCGCTTGCCATCGCCACCGCGGCTGGAGGAGGCTTCCCCAGACTTCTTCTCATTCATCCGGGCAGCCCACTCCTCTTCTATTAGCAGCAGCTTGCTGCTATCCATCGTTGCTGTGGCCTGCTCGTTGCGCTCGTCCACCGCCCGCAGACGACCTGTCACATTCTCAATGGTGAGGATGGACAAGTCCAGCATCGTCTCTATGGAGAGAGCAATCTGGATGTACTTCGCCGGCACGGAGTGGAGGTACTTGGAGACCGCCTCTTCTTCATCGATGGTGACGTCGTGGCTCCTCAGCTTGTTGATGAGCATCTACAGACGGAGGGAGAAGTCCTTCACCGATTCACCATCCTTGAACTTTAGGTTGGCGTACTCCTGCTTCAGCAGCTGGGTCGTTGCCTTCTTTGCGCGGTCGGAACCAACGCGCATCACCGCAATGGCCTCCCACGCCTCCTTAGCAGAGCTCTTCGCCCCCAACGGCTCCCTGTACTCCACTGGCACAGCAGCGATGATGGCTTCCAACGCCGACATGTCGTCTTCTTCGTTGTCGGTGCCCTTGTCAATGGCATTCCAGAGCCGTCGGGCTCTGAGCTTGACCTTCATAGTCACCGCCCATTTGCCATAGTTGGTGCAAGTCAGCGTCGGCCAACTGGTGCTGCTGACCTCCCGCACCATGTGCAAAATGACCTCCTGTCGTGGCTGGGCAGCCACAGCAGTGCCGCTGTTGTCGTCCATCTCCAAACCGTCCGTTATCGCCAGCGGTTAGTCCGGCGACGGCGCTTGTACGACTCTGATACCACTTGTTGATCCTTGGCTGCCCTACACAGGTAAGCAACTAGCTTATCAGCAAACACACTCACTGTGGCTAGAGGTAGAAGAAGAGATTGAGTACAGCGCACATACACACTCAGCACAAGCACCAGCGTTGGCCGAAGCCTTGCCCTTTAGTTTGTGGCAACTGAACTAAGTATTCCATTGCCCTTTGGATAGAATATATACAACTCTAGTTGTACCTCTATCATGTACATAGTTGTTGGCCACTACTACTCCTGAGTACAAGAGTACACCAACTACCTACTCCTAAGGTACAGAGTATACCAACTGCTCATAGCAGTACAAAGCTTACCTCAACCGACTACTAAGACATGATTGATGTAATAGCTACCAACTAATATACTAGAGGTGGCATATTGTAATACTGCTACAGCTACAAAGAACTGGTCGGCAGAACCGATCAGTCTCAACTCCCAACAGGGAGTGGTCAGCCGAGCCGACCAGTCTCCAACTAAGGAGAGAATGGAGAGCAACAAAATATGTCTAACGTACTCCTACTTGGCTGTGCAGTTAAATAGTTTATTTCGACTCTCTTGTTTATATTCCGTTTCCACTAGTCTTCTAGCTGCGGCCAATGCATACTTCTTTCTTCCATTTAGCATATATATACTTGGCCGTTCAATTGAGCAGTTTTTTTTCCTCTTTCAGTTTTTGTGGGAGTGGAATCAATATCACGATGGGTTATTCAATGAGTGGCTCAAACTTTGGCAAATTAGAGAAGAGCCGGCGAACCAACCTACTGATGGAGAGACTGAACTAGAGGTATCAAATAAAGGTTCACTAGGGTACCAGTCAGTTTTACATTCATGTGACCCCATTTTCCCCACCAAATTCATATTCTTTTTCCAAACAGGATGAGACACATGAAAAGGAAGAAGAGGAGCAGACTGATGAGGAAGAGACCAGTGAAGAAGAAGTGGCGCGTCAAGATGACACTGGTAGCAGCAATTAGAATGACATCAGTCTGCATGAGGTAGATGGGTTGGCTACTTTGGTCTTGAGCATTTGACTGATAAATAAACGTGTCTCATGTCTACCTCGAGGTTGAATAAAAAAAAGCTGTGCCACTTTATGTTTTCTGCGTTGCGCTGGATTGCAGATTAGCTTTGGTGTGGTTTCTACTAGTTGTAAGATTCTAATTAGCTTTCAATAAAGGTTTGGCACATTTACATTTGCCTGTACTGGACACATATTAAGCTTTTGTTTGTATCAGACACACATTTTTTTGTCATTTGAATTTATCTCATCCAAAACGAAATTTATCATACAATAAACCAAAGTCCAGAGGTTGTAAATCCAAAATTTAATTTTACATTTTGATTTGCATTGTTGTCAGAATTCAGAAGGCACTTTTGATCTGCTTTTAAAAAAATTCCTGTCAGAATTAAAGGCGTTGACTGTTCAATTACACAGTCTATTCGGTTCTTCTATTCTTGCTGTGTTTGAAGCTGAACAAGCAGAGCAAGCAGAAAGCACACGGAGGGGCAAACCATACATAAGGCTTCTAGTCTAAGATGAGCGCAGAGGGAGCAAAATGTGACATTTGTGGCCTTTTGGGTGCTGGCAAGTTGTGTCTGCTCCGTGCTGAATTTAATTTACAATTTGAATTGGAATTTCTTTCTTACTGCTAGTGGTAGAGCCAACGTTTGGGCCCCACCCTCCTTGCCACCGAGAATTATGTGAAGAATAGAGCAGCTCAGCATGGAGATAGCTTGCTATTGTCAGTTTAGCTTGAAGAGGATGCAAGAATAAAGAAAATATGGATCAAGCAACAACGTCTTGATTGGCCGTGTAAGAGAAGAGAAACAGGGAGGTGTCTGTCATGTTAGTTGATTGAAAGAGAGCAGGCGTTGAGCTGCTACAATTACGGAGGTGTCTGTCATGTTACTCGGTTGATAGAGAGCAGGTGTTAAGCTACTGCCTTGAAGAGCTGACGGAGTACAGAGTCCAATCCTATGACCAATTGCAAGAAGAATTCAGTAAACTAACCAAGCTGAGGACGCTAGAAATGTAGAATTTCCGTGTCACCCCATTTTCGCCATTAAACTCCTCATCTCCATTTTTCTTCCGAACAGGACGCGTCAGATGAAGAAAAGGAAGAGAAGCAGACTGATGAAGAGGAAGAGGAGCAGACATATGACGACGAAGACGACTTTGAAGAGTATCAGACTGATGAGGAGGAAGAGGCCGATGAAAAGGAAGCAGGGCAGCAAATGAACAGTGGTGTAGCATTCAGCTAGGTTTGATGAGGAGAACCAAAAATGTGTTTAGTCTGAAAAGATTGATGGGTTCGCTTGTTCTATTTAGGGCATTCGGCTGATGAAGGTGCCTGCCTCAAGGTTCAACAAAAACAGAGCTTGCCTTGAAGTTTCTGCATTATGCTGGGTTGCAGATTTAGCTTTGGTGAGGTTTGTGCTGATTGCAAGATTCTAATTAGATTCCAATAAAGCCATGGCATGACAAACATTCGTTCACCTTTGGCTGTAGGAGCCAACACATTTGAAACTTTTTTATGTGTTCCAGGCGCAATTTTTTATCAGTTGAATTCATCTACTTCAGAACGAGATTTAGCTATGAAACAGAGTGCAGACAGAGGTTTGGGTAATGAACCATGGCCAGACGAGCTCGTCGCCTGGCCATGCAGCTTGCTTGCTCCGCGCTTTCTCCCTGCCACACGACCACGATGCTTGTGGCCCTAGATCATTGATGCAGTTATCCTCGCAGCGCAGCCGTTCGCCGATCGAGGCCTGGGCAGATCGAATCCCGGGGTCAGAGTTCCGATGGATCTCGAAGCCGTTTCCACGTTGGCCGCCGCCGCAAATTGAGGTCATGTAGATCAGCGACGCAAATTGAGGCAGGGGCGAGAGAAATTGGGCATCGGCAGCAGCAGAAAGAAGCGATGGAGCTGGAGGAGAGCCCATGTTCCGTCGTTTTTTTTATTGTGGGGTGAAGTATAAATTGATGTCAAATACAACCCATCCAAGCAGGCTTTTTTAATTAGATCCGGAAAGGGGCTGGTATTTTACAACGGTTTTTAATCTAAAACCGACATTCCAAATAGGCCCATTGTTTGGGTGTTTAAATATGTACTCCCTCAGCTCCAAAGTACCTACTTTTATTATATATCTAGCATAGTATATATCTAAGTGCGTGGTAATAACTATGTACTTAGAAAAGCCAAAACGTTTTATAATTTAGAACAGATCGACTACAAGCTAACAGAGCAGAAAGCACACGGAGATGCAGAATAGTCGTGCGCAATACGACACGATGACTAAAGCAGTACCAATGCGACTGACTAAAAGATCGTATACTACGCGAGAGTCAGTCCACCGGAGAGAATCTAGTTAAACCTATCCTGGATGCTTAACTATAGCAATAGGGCTACTTTTATACTTCGTAGTTAAACGCCCTAACTTTTTGTAAAAATAGGTTATCAAATTTTAAATTAGAAAAGTATTTTAAAGTTTTATTTCCTCATTTATGCTCTGATACCACCTATGGCAGAACCGCCTAAAATAACTCACTTTCGGAGGTGCTTATCTTCTATTAGACACTAAACACCCCAAGAGTGAGCTAATTTAAACAGTTCTGTCGAGCATATCCCATGGGAGAACCCAAAAATCCATATTTTTCAACAGGATCATAAATGGGAGAATAAAGCTTACAACATTTTAGCCATTTCTTCCATCACTTTTCATACAACATCAGAGTATAATATTTATTATTTATAACAGCGAAATATAATCATGTTATCAGAGTTTCAACGAAAACAAAATCATTGAATGATAAGTTAAACATTAACATGATGATCATTTATATACATCATAACAAGTTATAAGTTTTTCCATTGTAATACATTTTGGGTGGAAGCTTCAAATAAACTCTATGTCCGCAACATTAAGGAAATCCTCGCTAAGCCCACCAGGAGGTTTCCACACACAAGTGTTAGCTCCATATGTTCCTGTCACCTGCAATAGGTTAGAACAAATCCTGAGTACTCGGTTGTACTCAGCAAGATTTACCCGACAGGAGAAAAGAAAAGACTCTAAGGAAATGCAAGGCTATCTGGCTTATGGGTTATTGCATCTACAGGAAGCATTACTAAGCGTGCGTCCTTATATTCAATTTCATTAGCAGTCATCATTAGTTCATTAACTAACCATTCTATGTAAGCACCTGTGGTACTTTCAAGCAGGTGGTAAGCAATCAGAACCATTTTACCATCTTTCATATTCCAGTTCTTACTACGGTGCTAGATCATAGCCAAGTCGTACCGTATCACATGGCGATTCGCGAATCAATGTATCCTAGCTGGGTACACCAAAACACACGCCCCGCTTGTACCCCAGGCACAAGCAAGACCAACCAACCACTCTCCTATCAAGGGGTCCAGGTCCCTGTCCAAACTTGGACTCCAAGCCCTCACACCTAGGTCCCATACTCAGTGTGGTGCTTAGATCTCCGCCATCCCCACCTCCAATCAGTTGGTCCAAAAAGAGCCGGAACCCACGACAAGAGAGCAACGAGCCTTTCCGCCCCCATAAGCAAGTATGTGCTCAGGATAATAAGTCTGTGACCTGACTAGAATCCAATGCAACGAACGGTCCTCAATCGACACAGGCGGGACAAACGCAACCAGAGCCTCGCTCGGTTACCTAACCAAGTCCAAATCCAAATCCAAAATATGGTCCCGCCTGGTCTCCAATTATTATCCACATATATTCCATGTGATAGTAACATGATAATAGTAACAATAATACATTTCATATCTCTCGCGAGTGACAGGCAATGACTAGACTTCTACCGGAGTCCTATAGCATGGCAATATATATGATTCTGTCATACTAGTAAGACTCATAGGATAAGGATATATATATGCAAGTGGTTTTTCATTCAACTCCTTAAAACTTAATGCACAAGCATAAGATAAAGTACAGAATAATAGGGGTTATGTACCAGGGCGTGCCTGGGTAAGATATAACCAAGTTAGCTTTCATCTTGGTGGCATGATCATCAAGTCACCATCTGCTTCCACTACTCCCGATGACTCCGCGATCCAACATCGTAACTATCATGAAATACGTGGATGCAACGCAGGGACGTAAATAATCAACGGCATCCGCAACCCTAAAATACGATTACATCTCTCAAGCTAACGAGCTAGCTCTAATGACTAACATACTAAGCCATGTATCCACGTGGTCAAGTGAGGCTCGTTTCCATAAAATGTTTTCATTCTACAAACCCCCAATTATTTTGACATTTGATTTAAATATATATTTTCGTACTAGAGCTCATTTAGTTACCTTAACACACTAATTCCTATGGATCTACAAAAATTACAATGAGCACCTAATAATGTTAGGAATCTACAGTAAAAATTTTAGGGCCAGTACTACTACCAATTCATCGTAATAACTCCTACAAGTTCATGTTTTACCCATTTTAAGTGCTTCAAATTAATTAGTCTACTCTTGAAAATTCTATGAAACTAAGTGAACAAAATACATTAGCAGATAGGTCATGATATTAGGAACCTAACAAAATTGGTTTCATAACTTTTGAACATCTATGCAATTTTACCTTGAATTTACAAGTTTACCTTAAGAGCTAAATTAGAAAAGACTTTAGAAATCGAAAAGGGCCGGCGGCAACCGATTCGGTCCAACAGCCCAGGCGGCTCGCATAGAAATGGTCGTGCGTGTAGTAGGCTGGCCCAACAAGTAGCCCACGATGGGAAACCCACGCGCGCACCCGCACATTTGCAGAAGAACCCCCAGTTTCACAGAATATCACGCGATGTTACAAAACACTATTACACCAGAGAAGAGCTTTGCACTAAGGACCCGGTGAAAGCTCTAGTTTGGTTTTGGTTAATTGATGAAACCCTAAGTGCTAACCTAGTTTATCAAAGTGATTATGAGATAGCTGGCACTACTCCAAGTGATGAAGCAATGGCGAAAATCATGACAATGGTGATGGCATAGTGATGATCAAATGCTTAAACTTGGAAAAGAAGAAAGAGAAAAACAAAATGCTCAAGGCAAAGGTAAAATTGTAGGAGCCATTTTTGTTTCGGTGATCAAGACACTTAGCGAGTGTGATCACATTTAGGATCGATAGTCATACTATTAAGAGGAGTGAAACTCGTATCGAAATGCGGTTATCAAAGTGCCACTAGATGCTCTAATTCATTGCATATGCATTTAGGATCTAGTGGGGTACTAACACCCTTGAAAATGTTTGTGAAAATATGCTAACACATGTGCACAAGGTGATACACTTAGTGGTTGGCATATTTGAGCAAAGGTGAAGAAGATAGAGTCGAAGAGGAGGTAGTCGCGCTGGTTATAGAGTGACCGAACGCGTCCGGTATGATGACCTGACACGTCCGGTATTCGACGGCAGACTCAGCGACTAGACACGTCCGGTCGCCACACTGGACACGTCCGATATGACTCAGAAAAACAGTGTTCGTCACTTGTGTTGATCGGACGCTGGCAGCGTCCGTTGCGGTACGACCGGACGCGTCCGGTCATGAGTGGTTGCTTACTGTACTCGATCGGACGCTGAGGCTCAGCGTCCGGTCAGTTTCTAACAGACGCATCTGGTCGGCCCTGGTGGCTTACTGGACTCGACCGGACTCGGCGGTGCTGTGTCCGGTCAATTGAGTTTCTACGTCCGGTGTGAGCGTATGGTCGTCGGCAGAATGTGCGGCAATGGCTATGATGATTTGAACCGGACACGTGGCAGTCTGGGGCTACCGGACACGTCTGGTATGCCGACCAGACGCGTCCAATGCTGCGTCCGATCAGTTGGACTGCAGCATCTGGTCAGCCCGCATTATGCCCAGTGAAGGGGTATAACGGCTCTATTTGATGGGGGCTTCTATTTAAAGCCCCATGGCCGGCTCAAGCTATCTCTCTTGCACATTTTCATTGACATAGCAACCTTGTGAGCTTAGCCAAAGCACTCCCACTCATCTCCATCATTGATCCATCATCTTTGTGAGATTGGGAGAGAATCCAAGTGCATTGCTTGAGTGATTGCATCTAGAGGCACTTGGTATTCGTGTTGCGCTGTGAAATTTTGCTTGTTTCTCTTGGTGGTTGCCACCACCTAGACGGTTGGAGCAGCGGTGGAGGATTGGCGCGAGTTGGTGATTGTTCGTGGCCATCTCCAGTGATTGTAAGGGGAGTTGTACCTTCCCCGGCATAGTGCCGAAAGGTAACTCTAG